TTGCTTCATTTCTGCGTATATGGAACCATCTTTATAGTGGCGTCGTTTGTCAACTCAGCACAGGGGCGTATCTAGAAAATGTATGAAAGGGGAGGGGTGCAAAAAAGAGAAAGCCTCTGAAGCCAACAGATTGCTATATGCTACTGACTACCTTTTGTAGATTCTACTGCAGTCTATAAACATGTAATATAAACTATTTTGATCACTCTTTTCTGATATAAGATGTTTTTACTGTACAACTGTATGTTTTATTTTGCATATTCTGATATTTTAGTTCAGTCGTGATTTTATCTTCGTTTCGTTTTTTACTTCTTGGGTTCACGGTTAAGTTGTTCAAATTGTGTAATATATAAAAGATTGAAACAATTAAAGAGAAATAGTTGTAGGACAGACAAAGTTAAGTTGTAACAATTCGCCAATGTAAATTTTGTCGGTACCGTAATCGGATTTTACTAGGAAATTCAATAAAAATGACAGAAAAGACGAATCGTCATTTTAATTTTCAAACGCAGATAATTCTGTACACACATGCATTTGAAGAATTAGATTTCAATGGTGAACTGTGAACACTATTAATCATCATTAATTTCGTTAAAACAATTTTCGTTTCTGAGACTAAGGTACGATTGGTCAAATAGGTTGCGATTCTGTTCTTTTAATTGAATATTGCCTGTAAAAATATAAATTTCTAATTAATTATTGAATAAATTATTATCGACGGAAGTTAATCAAAAACTCTCTGTACTAATTAGTAGCTGATAAACCAATGTAGATCAAATATAATCGGTAAAATGAGTACATTTAGAAAAAAAAGCGTCAGATATAACGAACGAAATAGCAAATTTAAACCCGGACGTATTTATCTATAGATAAATTGGAAAAGTTGGCTCGGCGAGCGGAATCCCTAATTAAATATTTATTAAAACCTTATTAAATAGATGTTGCCTTGTATGATAGCCAAGTAAGCAACATCAGATTCTCAAAACAAGGTCACGTCATGTTCATTATGCGCCATCCGTAGAAGACGTGCTTGGTCATTTTCACAGTGGTCAAGTTATATCCTTTACCTGATTTATATAAGACAAGGTTTGTTATAACTTGACCATTACGAAGGAAGGTAGGTAGGTAGATGACAAGTTAACGTTCGCTTCCAGCGGATGCTGATATCGCAAACTAGGTAGTTGTTGGTAGTCGTAGTAGTTGGTAGTTGGATTGGATCAAATTGGATGATCGGTGTTGTTGGTTTGGTTGTTGATTCTTCGTTAGATCTGGTCGGGTCGAATGACATGGCGGTGAAACTCGGCCCTGGACCATTACGAAGCAGTAGCCGCATATCTGTACCCCCAGTCTTGGAGTCTGACACCAAAGTGCACCCAATACTGCTAAAATTGCCCTTTCAATACGTCCGAAATTAAAAAATATTTCTACCGTGATTCACCTCATAAAGATCGAGGTAATAAATATTCAGTATATCACATGATTTAAACTGACCAATCAACACGCCTCCACACATTCATTTCACGGGTTGTTTTATAAATATGAACACATACGAAGCTATTTTGAGAAAGTACGAATCCATCTATTCATTGCCAATAGTCCCGTCACACCCTCTTTTCATTTTGTTATACTGGAAGTGTAACAGTCGTTTATATCATATAAAGGTCGGTAACTCTTAAAAAATTATAAGAACGCTAGTCCGAGATCACTTTTTCGATTATCGAGATATTCGATTATCTGTTTATTTTATGCTTTATTAAGCTTTGTCAATATACCTGAAAGACCGTTGTTACATAACAGTGCAATTATGTAAATAAAACAGTGTTAAATTCGAATTAACTGATACCGTGTGATGAGAATCAGCAGGATGAAAAGTATCATCTTATTCAATTCTTCCAATATTATTATGCAGAACTGCTTAAAAATCCCCCTCTAATTAATATATTCACATGGCTTAACTTGTTATAATATTTAAATGGTCCCATGCGTTATTCTTGTGCTCATATGCAAATTATGTAAATAAGTTAAAAAAGAATGTTTCTAATATTATCAAAAGAAATGCAATTTAAAGCAAAAAGGCTATTATTTTGTTATTTATGCTATTTATTAAGAAATTGTATATTTTTCTTTCATTGACACTTACTCATGTTTTGTTACAAAAGGTCTCTTTACTGTTAAAAGCGGTCCAATACAACTCAAGGTTTGTTATGAAATGTCTTTTTACTGTTAAAATGGGTCGAATACAACTAAAGGTTGTTACGACTGTGAAAGTCGGTCTATCGCAACTCAGGGTCTGTTATGAAATATCTCTTTAACCAAGGTGTATACTTATATCAAGTTGAATGTAACCACACTGACGACTAGTTGTTGTTTGTTCATTGTGAATTTTCTTATTGACCTGATGCATTATAAAGTAGGATTGAACAGAATTTAAACACATGTGAATACAAGTTTGATGTAACGATGAGTAAGAGATGACAGCCAGATATCTCCTCCAGACGATGTGCTTTCGTGTGGCAGCTAGTCGGTAAAGTTGTTGACACTTATTATGGAACCCCGTGACATAAATCTGTTATCGTAGCTGATATTCTGAAACATTTCACCTCTCAATATTTTAGCCTCCCTCCTCTCTTTCCTTATTGTTGAAAGTATTTCTTTATGCAGGCCTACTATGTTTCTAATTTCAATAACAGGATTTGAAGGTCACGCTGCATGTTGTCATTACTGAGCCAAAAAATCCTTTATTGCATAATGCATATACTATATTCGGTTTTCACTAGACCATTCAGGAGATGAACAGTACGTCGTAAAAATAGTTTTATCCTTTTAAGAAAAATAACATTGTATAATAAATAAAGTCTTTATGTTTGGTTAATACGGTGCAAGTTAAAGGCCGATTTCCACAAATTTCATTGTAATAGTAGGGGAGACCGGGGCCACTTTTAGGAAATACGCTGTATAAGGGACTAATGCATAAATCCTCCTGAAAATGAGAGAACCTGAAGTCTTTCCCAATAGGCCTACGTCATCAACCAATTGTGCCTACTGTCAGTTGTCTGAGAGAAACTAATCGTATAGGCGGTCGAACGTGGCAAGGTATACCATATATGGTAGGGATTGATAAACTGTTTTTTTACCTCGGACATTGTAAAATCAGCATTTGTCATTGTGTCGAACACTAGTAACTAAACCAGATATAAATAATAGTCGACTGGAACTAAAATATTACCAATTTGAAAACTTTATCGAATTGCGCTACCTATTCGCACGAAGGCAAATTCCCGGGGAAGGGGGGCTACAACTTATTGAAGATCACGAGTCCCCACTCATAGATTTACTTATTAGTAGTACATTATATTATATTACTATCTTGTATAGGTACAATAAATGGTACAAAATGGTACTTAAAGAGAATTACACTGTTTTATATAGCCATTCTGTACTGGATATATTTTATCTACTATATTAGAATATTTGCATACCTGTTGTGCACTATTGATGAGCTATATTAATTAAGCACATTTTTCAATAACATATAATGTTTCAACACAACAAAAAATAATTAATTTAAATTGAGACCTTTCATTGAAAGAAAATTACATTGTGTCACATGATAACTATATTTTTATGTACTGGATATATTTCTATTAAATATTGTGAACTATTGATGGACTATATTAATTATAGAATAATTGAAATATTTTTATAACTATCACAGTGGCGGATTTTGGACTTGTTGGGCCGTAGGTAAGGGGTCTAATTTCGCATTTTAGGGAGGGGGCATGGTGTGATAACAATTTTATGGCAGGAAGTTAGCGATCTTTCTTTTCAGGAACAGATCAATCAGCTCATCAGCATCAATCATATGCACGATATCGACATTCATCACCATTAGGCTCAAACAATTTAGTCGATTCTCACACATCACGCTCCTAGTAGGACAATTTTCGATGGGCCTACGGAAATTTATTAACTGTTTGATAATTTTTACTGTTACAAAATTATTCATGGCCGAATTTTCAATGGGCCGAAATGCAGCTGCCTAGTTTGCCTATAGGTTAGTCCGCCTCTACTTGATGATAATATATTCATGTTAAGTTTATTAATGAAAAAACAAATTTATAGCAGTAATGATATATTTAAAAGTAAAATATATTCTATGAGGTACTTGTTATGTATATTAATAATGAAAAGGTAAAGCACTGAATGTTGTTTCAGGGCGAAAAGAAACAAACTATATTACTCTAGGAAAACCACTTGGGTTCATGATTAGGGATCTTTTCTACCAGTTGGGCCATCTAGATCTCCTAATATCCTAAGTGTGATTGAAAACATCAGGCATATGATATATGAATCCCGGGGTTAATTCTCAGATTCTAACTGATAATTTGGTTAATGCTTCATTATTTAGACATATAGAAAGTCTAGCTCACCGGTCACTGACTGATTTGACCAAGTCTGGTAGGAACAAGTTGTACCCCTTTGTCAAAAACCCTTCTTCTATCAGTCTAATAGAATGAAATACAACCGAGAGGGCAATGGGGAAACACAGTGACTGACAGTTGCACGTTATATAAGCGGCTTTGACAAACCTTGTGGCAGAAACGTAGAGATGAAATATCACACGTTGTCTATAACATAAAATGATTGTTCCTACCCACGGTAATCTCCTGTACCGGGCAACGGTTTCACCTGATATTCGAGAGAAACCAGAGTGTCCTAAGCGATGACCTTCTAGTCACATGGTCGACACTGGCCGAACTGATCGAATCTTAGGGATATACTACATCTTAGGATGACAAAGTGAAATTTGTAATTTTGGCCAAAACGAGTCAGTCTTTGTTCATCAGTGGACTAACTGTCAAAACAATACATTAGAATCCCCTTTATAATCCAGTAAATCCATACAGTTATGAACTAATTAATTTAGTCATTTTGAAACATGCTTTGAAGCGTTAGTTTATTGGATTTATTGTCTTACATAGTGATTCTTTTTTTTAGTCATGGCACCTGGTAAGTTCTACTGATAAATATATACACTTGTTGACCAAGTTTGAGTCTTTAGATTTTATGTCCAGTCAAAGAGGTAGTGAACTTTTGAAGTCACAAGTTGTTTTTTGTATATTAAAATGATTAGGGACGAATCTATAAGATAAAAATACGAGAATGTCAACCTTTAAATACAATCAATATCACCTAGTGCCCTGTATCAGCCCACTCTTTCAAACTTAATATAAAATATCGAAAGGAAACAGTAACGATATAGCATGAATTGACCTGTACCATGATGTATCTTATCTCACTAACTGTGCTCGTCGTTTTCCTTCCAACGGTCTACTGTGGGGCAGGTAAGAGCAAATTTTTCAATTCAATTTTTTTAAAACGTGTAGGAAATTTTAGTTTTTGTTTTTCAGTAGTTAAAAGGGATAATTTTTTGTATTAACCCTATAGGTTGGAAGATTAATCTCGACTATGCGTATCTCTTTCCAAAATAGAAATAAGATGGTCAGTTCATGTACAATTTAATGATAAATGTAATAATACAAAAATCTCTGTATACTGTCTGTATACTTATTGTTTCACATGATTTATTACCCTCTTACTCTCGGCAAATTTCAACAGATCAAACCAAAAGTCCAGTATATGCCAAGATCTAAGACAGTGCCCGTTCAAAACTACCCAAGAATGTAAAACGAAATTTCACCCGGTGTACAGAACCCGAATTTACGAACATTACATTATTAACACACATTTTGTTTATTTTGTGCATGTGCCTGTGCTTTCGTAACTTTGTCATTAGTACAAAGTTACAACCTTTAGTCTACGTGCGTACAATATTTGATCGGAAGCCGAAGTACAAGTTTGTTCCGTTTAGAGATCTATGTTGATGGTGTCAAAGGTCATCGGAAACTCTTAACCTTTATGTAACTAAGTCATTAAGTGCAGTTAATTCGTAGTTCTAAAATTCGCTGCATGTCAAATCTTTTCATAAAATATCAATTCATTTAACTAACAAGGAGCAGAGAATTAGGATGTAAAAATCTATTTCATGTCATGTTCGTGATCTGTTCAGGACATGCACACTCCCCGCCCCCTTTCCCTTCAATCCCCGCCCCCGTTCCCTTCAACCCCCCCCCCCCCCCCC